AAAATATATTTAAAAAAAAAAAAAAAAAGAAAAAAAAAGAAATTCCCCTCGCTGAAACCGGTTTGGCTCAGTGGATAGAGCGTCAGCCTGCGGACTGAGGGGTCCCAGGTTCGATTCCGGTCAAGGGCATGTACCTGGGTTGCGGGCATATCCCCAGTAGGAGATGTGCAGGAGGCAGCCGATCGATGATTCTCTCTCATCGATGTTTCTAACTCTCTATCTCTCTCCCTTCCTCTCTGTAAAAAAAAAAAAAAAATCAATAAAATATATTTTAAAAAAAAAAGAAAAAGAAAAGAAATTCCCCTCTATCCTATAGTCCTAAAAATATTCTCTTGCCGAAACCGGTTTGGCTCAGTGGATAGAGCGTCGGCCTGCGGACTGAAAGGTCCCAGGTTCGATTCCGGTCAAGGGCATGTACCTGGGTTGCGGGCACATCCCCAGTAGGAGATGTGCAGGAGGCAGCTGATCGATGTTTCTAACTCTCTCTCTCTCCCTTCCTCTCTGTAAAAAATCAATAAAATATATTCAAAATATATATATATATATTCTCTTATGTTTCCTTCCTTCCTTCCTTCCTTCCTTCCTTCCTTCCTTCCTTCCTTCCTTCCTTCTTTCCTTCCCTCCTTCCCACATTTAAATGTTTAATCCACTAGAATTGATATGTATGTGCATTATTCAGTTCCTTTCCCCCCAAGTGGATAACCAAGCGTTTCAATCCCATATCCGAATTATTGAGCAGCACATCTTTCCCCACTGCTCTGCAGTGCCCTCATAAGCCAAATGTCTGCACAGGCGTGAGTCTGCTCCGGGCTCTGTTCTGTGCTGGTGGTTTAGCTATGCACCAATGGCACACTAGTTTAATTACTATTGATATTTGATAGAGTGAGTTTCCACATCTGTTGTTCTTCAGGAATGTTTGGTTGGTTGTCCTTTCATATAAACTTTAGAATGAGTTTGCCAGGTCCCACAAAAATACCTGTTTTCAAGTATTTTTAAGAGTTGTATTAAATTTACAGGTGAATGTGGGGGGGGGGGGCGTTAATTTCTTTTTCATTCAGTCTCTTAATCTATTAATATGGTAAATTTTCCTTTGATTGGTGTCTTCTTTAATGTCTTCCAATAGAAAAAGTTTTCTAATCTAATTCACAAAGAGCTTGTATAATATTTTAAAATTTTAATTTCAAAGCACTTTGAATTTTAGGTCATTTTTTCAGTAGACTTTAAATTTTTCTTACTATTACTGACATATAGAAAGGCAATTGACACATACACACACTGACACACACCGATTTCCTATACATCCTTGCTAAACTATCTTATTAGTTCTAATAATTTATCTATATATACTTTTGAGTTTTTCACAATCATGTTAACTACAAATAATGAGATTTTTGAATTTTCTGTTATAATCCCTATATTTTCATTTCTTTTTTATGTTATCATACCTGCAAGGAAGCCAGTCTAATGTTGAAAGGAATGATGAGAGCAGGCAACTTTGTCTTGTTTTGAGGTGCTGTCCCCACAGGTGACTTCAGTTTGTGAAAATTTATCTAGCTGTGTACTTATGATTTATGCATTTTTTTCTAACACTATGTTATATCTCAATAAAAGGTTTTGAAAAATGTAGGCATCCTGGAGAAAATAATGCTAATGTGAAATAAGCCAGTCAGAGAAAAACAAGTACCATATAATTTCACTCCTATGTGGAATCTAATGAACAAACTGAACTACCAAGCAAAATAGAGACAGACTCATAGACAGCAGGCAGACAGCTCTGGTGTCTGTGTGTTTGTGTGTGTGTGTGTGTGTGTGTGTGGGCGGGGTGGTGGTGTTGGTGGGTGGTGGAGAGATTGAGCAAAAAAGAAAAAAGAGAGAACTTATGGGCATGGACAACAGTGTCGTGATTATGTGGGGGCAGTTTGAGGTGGAAGAGAGCATAGAGGGGATAAATGGTAATGGAAAAAAATTAAATAAATTTTTATTTATTTTTAAATCTTTATTGTTGAAACTATTACATATGTCCTCCTTTCCCCCGCCTCCCCCCTCCCCCCGTTGACTCCCTCCAGCCCACCTCTGCCCTAAATTAAATTTTATTTTATTTTATTTTATTTTTTTAATATATTTTATTGATTTTTTACAGAGAGGAAGGGAGAGGAATAGAGAGTTAGAAACATCGATGAGAGAGAAACATCGATCAGCTGCCTCCTGCACATCTCCTACTGGGGATATGCCCGCAACCCAGGTACATGCCCTTGACCGGAATCGAACCTGGGACCTTTCAGTCCGCAGGCCGACGCTCTATCCACTGAGCCAAACCGGTTTCGGCCCTAAATTAAATTTTAAAAAATTTAGGAATATTTCCCCAACATCCTAACCGTTTCTTATAACTGTATGCTCTAAGGATGCCACTGAGCAGGTTTGTACCTATTTTCTTTTTTAAAAAAATATACTTTATTGATTTTAGAGAAGAAGAGAGAGGGAGAGAGAAACATCAATGATGAGAGAGAATCATTGATTAGCTACCTCCTGCAAGCCCTCCACTGGGATTGAGCCCGCAACCCTGGCATGTGCCCTTGACCAGAATCGAATCCAGGACTGTTCCGTACACAGGCAGATGCTCTATTCACTGAGCCAAACCAGTTAGGGCTGTACCTGTCTATTTTCAACCTGACTATACATTACTGGAGAAAACAAGTCTTAAGTGAGAACACCAATGGATCCTTTCACACAGTTAAGCACTACCAGGGAGAAGGGGCCCAGGCATAGTCTCAGCAGTCCCTGAGGGCAAAATGGGGAAAAGGAGATGAAAATACAGGAAAACAGATTTCCATGAAGCAGAAGGAAAAGTTTTCTAACATCATTGCCTAAGCAGAGAATAGTCTGTTTTTGTTTGTTTGTTTGTTTGTTTGTTTTTTAAAGTGAGCTCCCCAGCACTGGAATATTCTAACAGGAATGAATACACACCTACCAAGGATAATATGCAGGGCCATCTTTTCTCCCCGATAGCGGGTGGGGTGTGGACCATGTCATGTCTTCTTTCTCTTCCAGTTACAAGCTTTGATTTTTTTAAAAAAGAATTTGGTTTATTTCTTATCCCACTTTTAGGGGGTGCTCTATGAACTCCTCATAATATATAGAAAACTAACTTTACAACCAGATAAAAGTCAACAGAGGCAAAACTGGTTCTTTTGAAAATGTTAATAATATTGATAAACCCTTTTCAAGTCTGATCAAGAATCAGAAAAATAACACATTGTAATTCCTTTCACTCAGAAACACCCAACAAATATCATCCAACAATCGTTGAATAAAAGTGTAGTTATCCCTGTTATTTTCATCCCCAATTCTCCAAACTTGGCATTTTTCTGAGGCATCTAGCCTTATATCTCATTATTCTACAATCTTCTCAAATAATGGACAAAGTGATCCTCTCACTCATCGCTTTGAAAAAAAAAAAAGAAGCTGTTAATGGGGTTCGCGTTTTTGTAAAATAAGGAATGTTGAGCAAAGCGAAGTTTGAAATATTTTTAAGATGAGGAATAATCCGATTTTGCCGTTTTGCTTCATCTTTACTTCCATTCAACCAAGCTCCTTCTCTTCCTAGCACATCTCCAGTTTGTTGGCACATACAAATACATTCGCAGAGCCTCCCAGATGCTGCGCCATCAGCCTCCTAGACTAGAAGGGAGCCTCGTTTCCTTACACTGCTGTACAAATGTCTTCCTCCTCCCGTCCCTCGCCCGGGCTACGCAGATAAAAGTCTTTTTTTTTTTTCCATTCTTGGTAGCTCTCAAAGAAAATCTGGAGTCCAGACAGGGTTGAGCCCAGAGAGGGCGACCCCTTGAGGGCAGACCTTGAGGCATCGCGCGTCCCCTCCCTCCGCGGTCGCCAGCGCTGCGCCCCCTCTCCGTCCCGCGGAGCACGCCAGCCGAGCGGAGAAATCCGTTACCAGGCGGCTGTGTCCCTCAGGGCCATTCCAGGGCGGAAGAGAACCGGGAAACCGCTGCGCACGTTCTCCAGGCCTGTGGGCTGGGCGCGTAGCGGCTCAGGTTACAGACAGGTGAGTCTGGCCCAGGGGCGAGCTGAGGGCGCCAGGGAACCCCTGGCCAGGCGCGCCCCCGCAGTCCCCGGAGCTGGCACACATCTGACCGCCCCCGGGAGGGTGCGCCGACCACAGGGGTGGAGGCGGTGCTGGGCTGCCCTGGGCGCACCCGAGCAGGGGCCGTGGGAGGGTAGCGTGTCCCCCAACGCGGGCAGGACTGCTCTTAGAAACTTGGTATCTTTCTCTCTCTCCTCCTCCCCTCCAGGTATAAAGGTAGGCAGGGAAAAGCAAAACCAAAAATAAATACAAAATTTCCAGCCACCTCCCCAGAAGGGATGTAGCCTTCTTGCTGGCTTCCCGAAAAGGCATTTCCCAGCCTCAGAATCGGGGGAGCAGGCGGGTTAGGGGAGGCAAGCATGGAAGTGGGCGAGGATAAGAAATTAGATTCGAAGCTGTGTTTGCATAAAGCGCAATTGGCGTTTATTTCCATTGTGTTACAATTTGTGGTGATGGTGCTCTTGGGGTGCAAGGTCTTGAGGTGGGAGCTACGTTGGTGGAACAAGCCGACTTGTTTTTCTTTCATTGTACGGTACGAAACAATGTGTTCTAAAGATGCTGACTTTTTATATTTTATTATGACTGTGTTTATCTGGTGGGACTGTTGTAGTTGATGGGAGCTTAAGCCCTCAAGTTCCCTCTTTACCAAATCACAGTCCTGGGGAGTCTCCCCACAGCCTCCCCCATCCGCCGGCCAAGATTTCAGCGACCGCCGGCAACGATTCACAAAGTCCATTTTCTGGTCGGAGACAAAAGCTCTTGGGGGTGGGGGCGGTAAGTGTGTGTGTGTGGGGGAGGGGGGCGCGGGGGGCATTCTCAGGAGGCCCTAAGTCTCGGGAGGGATGCCCTGGGAAGCGGACCTAGGGTTTAGCTCAGAGTTTGCCCCGAGGTGCCTGTGATGGGGAATGGTTGGGGGTTGATTAAAAAAAAAAGTTCTCCCCTTTTTAAAAAGGGGAGGGGGGAGAATCAGACGTTAAATTCTTTTGCAAACATTCATGCCTAAGGAAGGGCTGGAACAGGCAGCCCCGGCCGCCGGAACCGGTCGGACAGGTAGCGAGCTTGTTGACACCGTTATGTTGCAGGGCGCATGCTCACTCCCAAGTTTCCTGGTGCCTTTTCTATTCCACCTTATGAAACTTTACCACGGCGTGGTCTCACCCGCGGTTTAAGGCATAGGTGTCGCCGAGCCGGGAGTCTGGGAGTCGCCAGTAGTGCCGGAGGGAGGCCGGGGCCGCGCTGCGGCGGGGGGCGGAGGGAGAGGGTCGGCGAGGCGGGAAGGTGGGCTCTGGCCGCCAGGAGCTGGGACCCAGACATCGCTGCGGTCCCTAGCGGTGAGCAGCCGGGACGAGGGGGCCGGGAGGGGGCCTCGCCATGCCCAAAGTCTTCCTGGTAAAGCGGAGGAGCCCGGGGGTCTCGGTCCGCAGCTGGGATGAGCTCCCGGACGAGGAAAGGGCAGACACCTACATCCCAGGTGAGCACGGCTCGGGGGCCAGGCCTGGCGCGGGGCTCCTGGGGTGAGGGCAGGGGTGACCTGGTTCCCTCTGCTCATTGGCTGGGGGTGGACCACCCAACCCCTGCTTCTTCTTCCAGGGGGGAGTAGGAAGTCTCAGAGGTGCGGGAAGACAGAGTGAGAGGCTGGGAAACCGTGGGCATCGTGCTCCCCTTCCCCCTAGTGGGCGCCTTTAATTGCCCGGCGGCGGGACCGTTGGCTGCAGCGGGGGCCGAGGTGGTCTAAGAAGGGGGTGGGGTTGAACGCCGGGAGGGGCTACTAGCCCCCAATTCCACGCCTTCATGGGTTGCACAAGGGTCGGTGATCCTGTCTGGGGCTGGGTATGTAGATATCAGACCCCTCCACCCCCATCCCAGGTAGAGGAAACTTGGCGCGCGGGGTCCCGCACTTCCTCGTGGCCCGGGGACCCGGACCGAGGAGCGTCCCCCAGAACCCCGAGCTCTCTCAGGAGGCCGAGCCGGGGGCTCGCTAGCCCACCCCCTCGGCTTTGCCCACCTGGCGAGATGCCCAGGTCCGGGGCGGGGCGGCGGCGGCACCGGCGGCACCGCCCTCAGGTCAAACTACCGCGGGCGCCCAGGCCTGACGCCGTGTGTCTGTGTGTCTAGGCTCGGCCCCTCCCTTCGCAGTGGGTCTGGGCCGTCTGCTCTGCGACCCCCCCGAGGACTGCCGCAGCGACGGCGGCAGCAGCAGTGGTGGCGGCAGCAGCAGCGCGGGGGAGCCTGGAGGCACCGAGAGCAACTCGTCCACGCGTACCCCCGAGCGCGAAACCCCGGAGCCTGGAGATGCCGAGGACCCCGGTGGACACCTGGCGGCGAAGCAGCGCCCGGTCGCCAGATCGAAAATCAAGGTACGGAGCCGACTCTGCCCGCGCCGCCACCTACACCACGCCCTGGCGTCGGGCTCCCGGGGCCAGCGCCCCTCCCTGCCGCGCCCGCCCGCGCACCCGGCTCCCGAGCCTTCGGCGCGTCCGCCGCGCGGTTCCTGCACCTGCCCCTGGGCCGCGGCCAGGGCGCCTCCGCGCGTCCTCCGGTCGGCAGGGGAGCCGGCCGCCTGCGCCGCTGCGCCCCCAAGGCCAGCTCCCCGAGCGGGCACAGTCGGTCGGCGGCCTAGGGAACTACCTGAAAGGTTCAGGTTCAGCTTCTTTCCTCCCATTCGGTGCGCAAGGGCCAGGGAATTATCAAGTCGTCGGGGTTCCGGTGGTCGGAGAGGAGGGACCTAGACACCGGAACTCCAAGCGCTCTGTGAATTCTAAATATCACACTCTTCCTTTAGTTTTGGAGACAGTGGTGGCAGCTTGGCACACAGTGGGCCTCTCATAATAACAGTGATCCCCAGCGCCATTATGGAGTGCCCGTTAGACACCAGGTCTGCAGGGCCCTTTAAATGGGTCTGTTTCAAATTTTCTTGAATTAAAATGATGGACAAATGAGATCAACTGTAAACTGCCTCATACCGCATCCTCAGTGGGTTGGAGTGTTTGTTCTCCTCTATCTTAGCGTTTCAGCCCCGCCCCCCCCCGCCCCCTACCCCCGTCTTCTTCTAGAATGGTAGGCTACATCTTATCCGGACGCTCTTCTGTGCTTACACGATTGCCTGCTCAAAGGTATCCGCTACCTCCTAGGTTAAGGAATCCCGTTCCACTGACTCACAGCCACCTGGAGTCAGGGAGTGGTGTTTTAGGGATCACACGAACCCCGTCGCTAGCCGGATGGGCCAGAATGTGACCCTTCCAGACTCCAGGTCCTCGCTGTAGGTGATAATTCTTGGGCGTTCCCGCGGTCCGGCTGCCCAGGAGGAGATAGGGAGGAGGAGGCCTAGAGTTTGCTATGGATTAGGAAAGTTTACGTTACTTTTCCTGGGAGAGGCGGGCTCGCCCCTTTGCATATTCCTGGCTCCTGGGGCTTGGCTGGGGGGTGGGGAGCTGGGGAAGAAGATCCCTAGCGTTGGCTGTGGATTAGGAAAGTCTCCGTTACTTTTCCTGGGAGAGACCACCCCTCCCCTATGCATATTTTCTGATGCATAGCTCAGAGGGTTTGGCTGGAGGTGGTCTGGGGGTGCATTTGGTTATGAATGGAGGCTAGAGGCCTGTGCTGGAATCTTAAAGACATCTTTAAAAGATGCTGCCAACTAGGGCATGCTGCTTAGTGTTAAAGGTTCTAAGGAGGTTCAAAATCAGCTAGCCTGAGGCTTTTGTGGGCCAGATGGGGTTAAGTGGGAGGGCTCAGTTTGCCTGAGGCTGGTAGTTCTGCCCTCCAGGAAATTCTACAGTGTCCCACTTGCATATTTATCGCCTGGGTGGAAGGACAATTGCAACGTTGTTTTGGAATGGATTGCAGACAGTTTGCCCCTGGATGCCCAGATTACCCTTGAGAAAAAGTAGCAGAGGGAAAATATCCAGTCCCTTTACCAACATTTTAGGAGATCTTTCTTTGCTGCCTCAGGCAAACAGCGCTATCTGGCTTAAGGGAATGAATAAACCAAATCTATTTCCATGATCACTGTCTATGTGCAGCCCCAAGGGTGGGGGTGGGACATAGAGTTTGCCCCTCAACTGTTAACATAGTTTCCAGAGGAGTGTTAGTTTACTCAGGAGGACAGTCTGGTTCCTTCTCCCTCTCAGTTTCACCCACAAATAGGAGACATCTTGGCTTTAAGATGCTTTGAGCCTCCGGAATTATTAGTAGTGATATTGGCCATTTTCAGTTGACTGGTTAAATTTAGCGCATTGTATAACTCTAGAGTTCTATGCAAAGCAAGCTGAACTCTCTAGTAATTAGTCTTCTAACTAGAAGTGAAAAGTCTCTCAAGGATGAGACCCTTGTGGTAATGACCATAGTTTCAATGACTTGAAGACATTTGGCTGTTGGCTATTAGGACCAGAGGAAGGGCAAGTGTGATCTGCAGAGAAAAGCAACATCCCATCCAATAGTATGGAGTGCCTGTTGTGTATCAGGCAGCCAGCATAAAAATGCTCCCATCCTAGAGTTCCAGAATCATTTGACAGAAATGACTAAGCCTCTAGGCTCTGGCTTTTGTTACTTCTTAGCTGTGTGACCTTGGGCAAATTGCCAATCCCTCTGGGCCTTAATTTTCTTGCTTTTACAGTAGGGATAATAAGGATACTTAGAGAGTTGTGAATAAATGAGTTAAGAGTGGAAGATGTAGGAACTCTAGCTAGAATTAGTTGGGTTGGTGGGGAGACTCAAATATTAATTATTAACTACGACAGGAATGTGAATGCTAACCCAGAAGCACAAGCAAAGATGTGATAAATTCTGAGCAGGGGAAAGTTTCTTGTGTGAATTTGAGGCCTATGGAGAAGGGGAGGTATGGGCTCAGCCAAAACTTGAGTAAGGAAAGAACTCAGCTATGTTGGCTGCAGGATGGGAAACTATTGGGGTCAGAAAAAGTTGAAGGTGAGGCTGGAAATGTAGCTAGTACCGGGTGGGATGGTAAAGAGGCTAAATCAAGAAGTGTGGAAATTCCCTTGGGGTTGTGGGTGGGGCTCTGGAAGGTGGGTTTTTTTTTTCTTGTTTTTTTTTCCTGGGAGGTTTTTGAGAAGGAAACCCTCAGTTGGATCTATAATATGTGGTTCTCAACCTTCCTAATGCCGCGACCCTTTAATACAGTTCCTCATGTTGTGGTGACCCCCAATTTCATTGTTACAAATTGAACATAATTAAAGCATAGTGATTAATCACAAAAACAATATGTAATTATATATGTGTTTTCTGATGGTCTTAGGCGACCCCTGTGAAAGGGTCGTTCGACCCCCAAAGGGGTCGCGACCCACAGGTTGAGAACCGCTGATCTATATCATCAGCTGTGATTGGGGATATGTGACCTGTTTGAGCCTCAGTTTCCTGATATGTAAAATGGAGAAATAATAGAATCATCCTCTCAGAAGTGTTGCATAGATTAAATGAGACAATGGGTGCAAAATGTTTAGCACTTTTTGTGCATGTATGAACTGCCCAATAGGAAGTTAGCTGACAATGACTGATAGCTATTTTGTTACCTACAGTAGGAACAAGGGATTTGCTAACCTGATTGTGCTGATCAGTGGATCTGGACAGGACTCGTAAGTGCCAGTTACGTGGTTTTATTTCCCAGCCTAGCTATCTTTCAACTGTGTGCCTTAGGGTAGGTTATGAAATTGTTTCTTTACTACTGAGGATTCTGTAATTTATAAAACAGATTTGGGGTGGGGAGATGGTGTACCTCTGGGAGAGTATTCATGCCAGAGGTTTAAGTCACTTTAAGTCCCTTTTGTAAAGCTGGATCCATTTGCAGGTCTTTAGCTGTGGGAGATACCCCCTTCCCCCAACCCCAACCACCACTGTCTTCCCAAGGCTTATCAGAAACAAAGTGACTCAGAAATTAAATCAGTTGACTGATGTTATTCATTCCTGACTCAGAGTGGCTGGTGGGACCCATGTGCAAGTATAGACTAGAAGTAAATGTCTTCTTACCCCATCCCATTCTTTTCTCTCTTCCTTTGGTTTCTCCCAAGGATTCTTCAAAGGAATTGAGTTTAGAATTCCTTCAAAAGTATTCTTGGCCTTTTCCCTGGCTCTGTAGCCTGAGTCTTCTAGTAGTCATGGATGTGTGAATGTGTGTCTTTTTTTTGTTCCATCATATTTTATTATGAAAATTTAAATACTTGTCAATACTTGTCACCTGGTCCTAACAACAATGAACCCAAGGCTACTACTGCCATCCTTCCTCCATCCACCCCCCAACACTATTTTGAGACAAATCTCAGCCATCATAAATATTTTGAATGTGTCTCTAATAGATAAAGACCAAAATGCATGATTATACTCACATTAACAATGATGTACACATTGCTAATTGTCTTTTTTTTTTTTTTTTTTAATATGCACAGGGGTTTATCATTTTCATCTAGAGTTTAGAGCAGTGTGGTCTAATAGAAATAAATGTGACCTCTTATGTAACTACTTTTTCTAGTAGCCACATTAAACAAACAATAAGAGCCCCACCAGTGTGGCTCAGAGGTTGAGCATTGACCTATGAACCAGGAGGTCACGGTTTGATTCCCAGTCAGGGTACATGCCTGGGTTGTGGGCTCCGTCCCCCTAGCCCGTGTGTAGGAGGCAGCCAGTCAATGATTCTCTCTCATTGATGTTTCTATTTCTTTTTCCCTCTTTCTTCACACACCAAAAAAATGTCTTCTTTCAAAAGTGTCTAACAGGTCCTTTGCCCATTTTTGATTATCTTCCTTCTGTTAAGTTGTATGAGTTCCCTATAAATTTTGGAGATTAAACCCTTATCAGAGATAACATTAGCAAATATGTTCTCACATGCAGTGGGCTTTCTTGTTGTTTTTTTTTTTTTTTTTTTTTTTTTTTTTTTTTTTTTTTTTTTTTTTCAGTTGATCAGCAGCCTAGCCAGGATCTCCAGCCAGGATCTCCAGCCAAGTTCTGGTCTGGATCTCCAGAGAGGTCCTGCTCGCTAATTGTCTTATAACTTCATTTTTTTTGTTTTGTTTACTGAATCAGGTCCACATAATGTCCACACATTGTAATTGTAATTCATTGAATGTGTCTTTTAATTTATATTTTTCCTCCCTCACTTTTTTAGTTAGTTGTTGAAGAGATGGCTAATTCGTTTTGTAGAGTCCAGCAATCTGGGTTTTGCAGAATGCATCACCGTGGTGTCTAATGCTCCTTCCTCCCATATGTTTTCTCTAAATGGTAGTTGGATTTGCAGCTACACTGTACAAAATGGTAGCCATGGTCACATATAACTACTTACATTTAAACTAAGTAAAGTTAAGTAAAACTAAACATTAAATTCCTTACTTGCACGACTCATATTTCAAGT